CTATATGTGTGTGTGGTGTGTGTGTGTGTGTGTGTGTGTGTGTGTGTGTGTGTGTGTGTTTGTGTGTGTGTATGTGTGTGTGTGTGGTGTGTGTGTGTGTGTGTGTGTGTGTGTGTGTGTGTGTGTGTGTGTGTGTGTGTGTGTGTGTGTGTGTGTGGTGTGTGTGTGTGTGTGTGTGTGTGTGTGTGTGTGTGTGTGTGTGTGTGTGTGTGTGTGTGTGTGTGTGTGGTGTGTGTGTGTGTGTGTGTGTGTGTGTGTGTGTGTGTGTGTGTGTGTGTGTGTGTGTGTGTGTGTGTGTGGTGTGTGTGTGTGTGTGTGTGTGTGTGTGTGTGTGTGTGTGTGTGTGTGTGTGTGTGTGTGTGTGTGTGTGCGTGCGTGTGTGTGTGTGCCGTGTGTGTGTGTGTGTGTGTGTAAGTGCGTGCATGTGTGTGCGCACGGGCGTGTACGTACGCGCGTGCGTTCATTAACGCATCTTTGTGCGATTTCAGGATACAGGACGCCATGTCCGATCAGAGTGGACTGGAACAGCAACAACAACAAGAACAGCAACCACAACAACAAAACATCAAGTATTGACCTCATGCGACATTGGATCTCTCTCGGTGATACAGGGACAAGACAGCGTCATGTATCAGACGTACTGCTGCATCTCCACGTTACATGGCTCAATAGAGCCCATGACCTGCTTCTCTTCTGTGCATAGCTTATATTATCCGCCACTAGGTGGTGCCACGCGTCCGGAGAGTATTACTTGTAGTCGAACTGGCGTGCTTGTTATTTTCACTGAGGCGACCAGGTATTCTAGTTGTAGATGTGATCTGAGCATGCTTACTATAGGTAACGCTGAAGTTTTAGTTTTAGATTTATATATGTCTTATTTACGGGGGCTTTAGCCGGAGCGTGTGATCGCTTTTGATCGAATGTTCCGATGTTAGAGGGATTTGTACCCGCGCGAAGAAAGGTCGCAAAATTATACAGCGATCGGCTAAGAAGAATGTCTAGCTGGAAATCTGCATAGTGTTACGGTGCCGTATGACATAGATAGAGACTGACGTAACTCTGCTGCGAACGCTGCTGCTGCAACAAGCTGATGAAAGTAAAAGAATAAAAGAATCTGATTTTATGGAGAATCTGAGTTCAGTCGTTTTATTTGCCATATTATTGAATTATGATTAGGTATATTTAGTTGTGATTACTAAAGGTCGACGGTATGTGTTGTAGCCGCACGTCACTGCCTTACATGAGCAATTACAACACATATTATCTATACACATACATTATCATTACATTATATATATATATATATGTTACATATCACATTATCTCACGATAGGCGGCGCTGTGGTAGAATTGGCTAAACAGACGAAACTCTTACACAAAAAGCACGATTCACACACAGATAGCGAAGTTATTGCAGACGAGAGAGTAATTTGGAGTTTATCTCTCAATAAAACGATTATGACTCGAGAGCAATAATTAAGATTAATGAGTAAGTACTTCCAAAGAAAACAAGTAACATGAAGCTCTTACTGAGACTACGTGTCATGCTAGTGTCTCAGGTTTGGATAGATAGGGCTGGTGTAGAGGTGACGCTGAAGGGGTCGTTGTCGTATCAGGAACTACAGATATGTACCCGAGGTACATTATATGTATACACAAAGTGTACAAGGCTTGTACTACAGAAGTGTACCCTAACCCTAACACTAACCCTAACCCTAACCCTAACCCTAAACACAGGGTACATATATGCTGAGAAGATACAGGTCTGGTAAACATATACGTACCTCGGGTACATATGTAGGAAAGCGCCGGCTTCATAGATAGCACATATTAGTTCGCGGCACGAACGCAATCACCATAAGAAAATCATTCCATGACACATAATGGTGATTCCGCCGTGATGTCCACCTGGCCCGTCTCTTGGGACCAGAATTGTTGACGCCAAACTCGCAGGTAGAAAACGACTCGGCTCCCATCTTTCCCGTGGCACGGTCCAGCTTCTGCCCGCGCTCCCGATCTTTCCTTCCTATTCCTTCTATACTCCTTCCACCGTCCACCTTCACCCCTGCCGAGCTACTTCGCGATCCACGTCTCACGGTGCGAGGTTACTGACATTCGGTTACGATTCTGTGTGTGTGTAGTCATCTATGTAGTATGTAGTATGGAGAATATTCTGTGGTGTAAACAAACGAAGAGTAGCTTTATAATACTGTGTTCGTGTTATCTATCGTGTGATCTATCTGTGCTACCTCTCGTGCTATCTATCGTGGAATCTATCGACGCAACCTGATGCTATACCCTTGAGGGGATCTCCCACATGCTAAACCGTAGAACCTGGATCGGAAAGTGAAACGCTTTCTTAGACATATATGTAGTACCTGATACGACAACGACCCTCTCAACAGAGGTAACACAGAGTAAACTTGGTGTGGAATACGGTGGTTGCAATCCCATGCCTCTATCATCCCCGCATTTTCCCACCACCGCCCCATACTGTCTCACCACCGTCCCTCGCTACCTCTTACTGCATTTCCTACCTCGTGCTCCCTCTCTCTCCTCTCTCTACCTCTCTCCTCTCTCTCTCTCTATCTCTCTCTATCTTTCTTTCTCTCTCTCTTTCTCTCTCTCTCTCTTTCTCTAGAGAGAGAGAGAGAGAGAGAGAGAGAGAGAGAGAGAGAGAGAGAAAGAGAGAGAGAGAGAGAGAGAGGGTAAAAGTGACAGAGACAAAGATTAAAAAAGGGTGAAACGATGGAGAAAGAGAGAAAGACCGGATGGTAACCGGTCAGTGACAGAGAGCGACCGAGAGAAACAGAGCCAAAAATAAACGGAATAGGAGGAGGATGTAGAAGAGGAGAAGAAGAAGGAGAAAAAGAAGAAGGAGAAGGAGGAAGAGGCGTAGAAGGAGGAGAAGGAGGCAAAGGATGAGGAGTTGGAGGAAGAGGTAGATGTGGAGAAGTAGGAGTAGGAGGAGGAGGATGAGGAGGCAGAGGAGGAGGAGAAAGAGTAGGAGGATGAGGAAGGGCGAAGGAT